GAAGCACCTGAAAATGGAAAGAACGGAAAATCCTACACATGAAAATGAAATATTTCGAATTTTCACCCGGCGGTAACAACATTTTCAATAGTAAGGCGATGTTTCCCATTGTATTGGCTGTATCCCGTCCAAATTTAGTTATGTTTTTGGGCACGAAAATTGAATAATTCCAAATATTTGGAATTTTCACTCACAAGAACGGCGGTGACAACATTTTCAATAGTAAGGGGCTGTTTCGCATTGTAATGGCTATGTCTTGTCCAAATATGATTAGTGCAACTCTCTCGGTTTCCAAAATTCGATACTCATGTATGTTTTCAGCCACGAAAATTGAATAGTTCCAAATATTTCGAATTTTCACCCACAAGAACGGCGGTGACAACATTTTCAATAGTAAGGCGATGTATCGCATTGTATTGACTGTATCCTGTCCAAATTTGGTTAGTACAACTCTCTCGGTTTCGAAAATTTGATACCCATTTATGTTTTCAGCTACGAAAATTGGATAATAACAAATATTTCGAATTTTCATCCACAAGAACGGCGGTGACAACATTTTCAATAGTAAGGCAATTTTTCGCATTATATTGGCTATATGCTGTCCAAAATTACTGTGAAATTATTTTTGTGAATCCTACCCAAATCCGAGAGATTGTTCACTATTTCATGGACACCCTGTATAAGTATTCGAGTATTGCTAATCAGTTCGAGAAGATCTGATGAATGCTGTTATGTATTTATTAAATAATTTAGAACTGGCACTTCGCAGGCATAAAGGCATGGAAGGAAGGAAGGCAGTTTTTTAAATTTGGTTGAAGTTAATTCCAGTTACTTTGAATAGATGTCCTTTAGAAAGTATAAGTCTGGTATTTTCTTTAACTTTAGAACTCCTCGGGCGGTTTTGTTTTGAAGCTTAGAGTTTATTCATCATTTGACTTCCTACCATATTAAGTTGTTTTCCTTTAATTATATGTTTGTCTTTATTTTTATTTTGTTTTTTGTTTTATATATACTCATGTTCTGCAATTTTTTGATTTCCTTGAAAAGGGACAAAATATTTTATTCCGACTGGCGGCTACTCCTTTTGGTCTTTCTATCGCTACCAGAGCCCCGACTCAAAAGAATTAGGTTACTGGGGATTCATCTTACAGCATTATCGAGAAATGAACGCTGATGAGAACCTTTTGCTGGTTGATCCCTTTCTATTTGTGCATTTTAATTGAAGCTTGTTTTACTAGAGAGACTAAGACATGCTCTGTCTATAACTTGCTTGACAGCACTTTTCTCTGAGACTTTTGACTGAACCTTTTTTACTGAATTTGTTCTTTAGCACTATTTTACTTCTTGCTTTATTCTTTTTGTGTTCTTGCACTGTCTTCTCTTTCGGCTAATGAAGACTTTTGTATAAAATTGTAGGATTTGAACGTTAAATATAGGATCTAGATCTGAGCGTAAACCCTCAACGAACTATAAAATTTTATTTATAATTTGTATGCAATATTTGCTTAGTTACATGCACTGATAAACATACAATGCAATGCTAGTGAATAGGAGGTCAGGCTTCCATATCGGCCAAACACTTTTCACTGGTTAATAAACTGCATCTGACCAAAGTCGACGTTTGATCGCACCTAGTGATGGTTATGTCAAATTCCCTTATTCCTAACACGGATTTCAGAATTTCTGGTGCTGTTGACGTTATCGATCAGCTTGGTGATTTACAGGACAAGCTTCAGGCTCTCATTAACAATGCTTAAACTTTGTTGCAGAAGGTTTGTGGTTTAGCGAGTCATTTGAATGTCGCGATTCGAAAGATGCGTGAATTTCGAAGCATATACATTTGTAATACATTGGAAATATTCTATTATTTTCATGCAGGTATATTATTTTATATGTAGATACAAATGCAAGATTTTAGTGTTTTTTACCCAATTTCTTCGTAATGTTACTACTATTTTTGTTAATATTTACTGTGCCTATATTGAATTAGAGCAATAACTTTAAGAAAATGTTTTCTGCATTCAGAAAGCCACTGCAACTTGATTTCACGCCCTTTATGTTAAAAAGAATACGTACTGACATAAAATAGTCGTAATTGTTATTACACCCATTGTCAGAACTTGGCTTACTCCACCAAGCAAATCGTAATGCGAGCTTTATGGACATTTGATCTGCAATAAATAATTCAATTATCGGATTTAACACCGATTTTAATGTGTTAATGTGTGCTTTGTAGAACGTTTACATGCCTAATAAACCGGAGCTATGTTTTGTTTCTCCCTTTTAATATCCAAAATCAATTTGAATTGCCAGCGTTAAATTTTTATCGGGAACAAGTCGTTATTAAACGCCCGTGGAAAGTTTACGCCGTTTAAAATTGACATTTTCTCTATCTAATCTTCTTCTTTAATGGTTTGATAGAGCTGCGACTGGCGTAATTATCTTGGGGTTGTTTAACTTGCGGAAAATAAAGAACTGCTCAACCAAAATGACGAAGTGACTCATTCGTGAGTCTTTATACGAGTAACATGTATAATCATAAAAAAACTCGACACTGTTTAGATACATTTTCAAAGAAATTGCATATTTGTCACGAAACTTAGATTCAAAAGGCATTTCAACATGTTTTTTTACTGAAGAAGAGTAATAATTGTGAGGGAAAAACCAAGTAAAGGTAGTAAATCCTTAAATGAGTTAGAATGGTTTCAATATGTGACATTCTATAGGAAATATTATATAAACATAAAGTAGGTATCCATAAAATAAAAGTCAGTAAATAGCTTTTCTATTTATCGAATGAATCGTAAGTCGTTTGGGAAGCAATCATCTTGTGTCTATAAGTAAAATAATACCTAGTTATTTTAAGCAAAGCGTCGTAAGAAATAAAAAAATTTCAAGTCTATCTGTAGAACTACATCGATTTTCTGTAAATATCATGTTGACAACTAATATTGTTCAAGTGTCATGACTGAACTGATGCATTATTAAAGATTGGGAGCAGTCATTAGCAGGCAATCATAATGGAGATCTATAGAGTTCGGGGTTTTCGTCGGCTAGTCGTAGGCGTGTTCATCATAAACAAATAAATTAATTTAAAAAAAAATCCGTACTTTGTCAGCGAAAGGTCGTTTTTTACCCCTGGGCGCGTTCGATAATACTAAAACACGTATACACGAAGCAAACGGAAGTCAACAACCAACAACTGCCGTTATTACCGGTTTCGTACGGTTAGCTGTAGCGAAAGGCTGGCGTGACGGTTATCCGACCGAGTACCGAACTCTAGAGATCAGTAAACGATGTTATAAATAAACTGCTGTAGTTGAAGTTCCACCATCGTTTTTCTTAAGAGTTTTAATAAAATATCAAGTGAAAAATTTCAAAGATCGCATACGTAGCAACGTCAACTTTATACCTGAATAATCGCTAAAACTATTTGAACTGGTGTACAAACGATTGATGTGTGAAAAAAAAACAAGAACCTAAACAAAATATGCTTGCTTGTTTGTCAGTAGAGCAAAACGTCTATTTTTTACACCGGAAACTATACAGGGTGTCCCGTTCATGTTTCAAAAAAATTTGTGTGCAAGTTCCTCTTAGAAAAATAATAGGGGTAAGTAGTTCATGTAAAGTTTTTTTCTTAGACGCCCTGTTTTTGAGATACAGTGTGTTGAAGTTGTTACTTTCCAAATGGTTTTACTTAATTATCTTTAAACCGGCTGAAGATAAAAATTTCAAAATTTGTACTCGAGTAAACATCAACTGTGCATTAAGAATAATGTACAAACAGTTTCATTCTGAAAAGCAGTGTCGCCGATACAGGTAATTGAATTGAATGTTAAAAGTCAAAATTTATTACATTTCTAAACTCTAAAGGATAGGTACTCTAAAGGATAGGTACTACGAAAAAAAAGGTATACTTGTCGAAATTCGGTAGCATGTGTCATTTTCGAAAAAAATGAAGTTGCATTTTTTTTGCTCACATAAGGCGGCACAAGTACATTAACAAAATATTAAATTGAAAGAGGACCTTATCACTGAATGAGCTGAAGACATTTAGCTACCAACAGTATTCGCATTTAAGACTATAATTTTAATTTCTTACGCATCATATGAAACAGTTAAATTGTAAAACATTTGGAAAGTATTAACTTCAACACACTGTATCTCAAAAACAGGGCGTCTAAAAAAAAAACTTTACATGAACTACCCCTATTATTTTCCCATGAGGAACTTGCACACAAGTTTTTTTGAAACATGAACGGGACACCCTGTATAAAAGACTCAAATTTGAAAATGTTGTAAACAAATAAGTTTCTATCTTTTTGAAAAATTGCAAATATAAATTCAATAATCTGCTTTTTCATATTTTTATTTACGCAAATTTAAACTTGACCAAGTTCATGCCCATTTTAACTATTTTGAGTCACCAAGTACAACTGCGCATTTAAAAACCGATACATCGGTCTAGTTGTCTCACTCGTTGTTTGTATTGAATCCCAGTATGTATAGTGCCTGATTTATGATTGGAAATATAGGTGAACCGTCGGTCGTGGTTAACATATAGCGATTTGACACTACTGTTGAACCACCCATTAAGTATCACATTAGCAGCTTATTTTCGGCCCAGGTAGTCATGCGAGGGATGATTGAATACCTACACGGATATACATAAATCAACTGTTAAAGAAAATGATATGAAATTAAAAACACAATGTTTCCTTTAAAAAATAATACTTTGATTAGTAATTTGCCACTTTCTAATTAACTGATAATCGAAAACTGGTGGTACTAAACATCTCAACAATTGCCGATCGATAATTTGCGGAGAGGACTGGACTGTTTGTGATGATTTTTTTGTATTCGTGTAATTTCTTTTATTTTGTAAATTTTGACTTTAAACTTCGGAGAGTAGTGAATTAGCGTATGCTAAGATAAGAATTTGGAATCTGTCACTTTTTAATAATGTAAACAGCATTTCTTGATAATTTTAAATTTTTCAGGGCCAGCCTACTGGGGACTAATGAACCCGCAGTGGAACATGTGCTCGAAAGGCCGACGGCAGTCTCCGATAAACATCGAACCTGACAAATTGCTGTTTGACCCCTTCCTAAGGCTCATACATCTGGATAAACACAAAGTAAGTAACAGCCGCACAAAGTTTGCCTACTAAATTTTTACCATTTAAGTAATATTTGGTTCATTTCAATTTTTTCAAACTTTGTCAGTAGGTACGTAATTTTTTAGTTTTCCTTCAAAATTTCCTAATTTATGGCAGATGTAGGATATTGTAGGGTAAAGTCGCCTATATTGTACCACTTTTCAAAATATTGCTTTTAAAAATTAAACTGTTGGTTTTTAGAGTGAAGACTTTCAATTTTAGTTGCTTATTATATTTCTAACCAAAAATAATTTTTCCGCAACCTCTAAACTTCTTAAAATCAATAATATCGTAGTTTTTTAAGACCTTTGCAAATGGTCCAATTTAGGCAACGAGTTTCCCAAATTGGACCACGTGGTTTCTTAATTTGTACCAATTTAAATTAAATGAAAACAAAAAGAATAAGAACGTAAAAAAACATAAAATATATATCGCTGTTTTATTAACAACTTTAAGTCTATTAGAAAAAAACTTTAACATATTATGTCACCAGAAATATGAAGAGGGATACTATAAAAGCCTGAAATATTAGGTATCATTTTAGGCACAAATGTCAAAAACATAATTTAGAGTAACCACTACCGCACCTGATTCGTGAGACCAGTTTTTACACTTTGTACATTGAATCATATCTTCAACTTATACATTGATCACATATATATTTGACAATACCAATCATTTTTGTTTATTTCAATGACCAGATTGGTGTTATTAATAAAACCATAAAAACGTTCTTCCAGTTTTAAAATTTGATCCTCAAGCTGCTGTTCAATCTCTGCACTAAAGACAGTACAGCGACTTGATGCCTTTACTCCTTGATTAGCTCTAACATTTAATGACGTTAAATGCCTTTTAAATGTTGACTTTGGAACATTATACATTTCACATATCTCATTTAGACCGTACTTTCCTGTCCTATATATTTTGATGGTCTCTTTAATTTCCATTTCCGACCATTGGCCATATTTGAGGTCTTTTCTACTCTTGTAAAAAAAATCGAGATAAGAATCCTATATTGAACCAGTACAAATTAGGCAACTCGTGAGTGGTACAAATTAGGAAACCAGCACATATTCCTAAAATTTACGAAACTGTTGCCAAAAGTGAGGTTAACCAAGGAGCAAAGTATTGAAAAATATCGTTTATACACCTGTTGTTTGGTAAAAACAGGTTATAGCTTAACGAACACTTAAAATTTTGCTCTAAAGCTTATACAAAAACATGCGAAACTTATATGAAACCTTGGATTTTTAGAGACATTAACTTTACAACACACGCGATTTCTTGCAGTCTGCTTGTTTATAGATAGATCTTCCCATTTTAGAGTTTAGATAGCTCCATATACACGAGGTTTTCTAGACATTAAGAAGGTACAATTTAGGAGGCGGTACAATAAAGGATACTTTCCCCTACGTAAGTTTTGGACTGTTTCTAATTATATAATTCTTCATTTAAAATATGTGGTTAAGCGTGTTAATGATAAGTACAGTTATATTTATAATCCAGTAAGCAAAGGTTTCTTGCAGAAAAATTTAGAAGTTTTTTTCTCACCGATTCTATATGTTTTTTGGGGTGCTGAATCCGAATCTGAGGTTTGCCACCTCGCCAGGTGTCGACTTCACAAGGAAAATTGCAAAAAACTCGAGAACTAATCGTTTTTTTATTATAGCTATGATATATCAAATTAAACTAGAACAAATTTCCTACAAATACGTACAGTAACTCTAAAGTTTGGACAATCCATAACGTCGTTAGATCGTGTTGAAAATATGTAATTTCTTGAGCATTCCTTAAATGTTACCTGGACAGACCGGGTAACCATAAAATAATTGATTTTAGAGGTGTATAGTTGATAGTACAGCACCAGCCTGCAGTAGAATAACGTTTTCAACTTTTTTAGCGAAAAGTCAAGAAATTATATTTTTTCAACAAGATCTAACGGCGTTATGGATTGTCCAGACTTTAGAATTATTATACGTATTTGTAGGAAATTGCGTCTACTTTAAATTGATATATTGTAGTTATCATCAAAAAACGCCGAAAATTTGAGGTTTTTTGCAATTTTCCTTGTGAAGCCGTCGCCTGGCGAGATAGCAAACCTGAGATTCGGATTCAGCAGCCCAAAAAACATAAAGAACCGGTATGAAAAAACTTTTACTTACTAAACTTTACATTTTTTCTGAACTATTAAGGATGGAATATCTTGTAGATCTTTCTTTGTCGTCGTTATATATGTATTGCGTTGAACTACAATAATTTAACATTAATCTCGGTTTCCGCCAACTTATCTTCTTTAAAATTATTCCGCACGGACTTGATTACAGTTTGTTATAGTCGGGGGAGCATGTAGGGGATAATCCAATTCCAGAAAGAAAAGCACAAAGCGGCGTGCTGTTGACTTGCAGCGGCAAAAATATATAACTGTAATTAAAGAACATTATTTATGGATCGTATTTCGTTGACAAATGGCCTCTTAAAAACCCGAACGGAGAGATTGAACGATAACATTTCAGCTTGCTGTTTTTCGAATAATTGAATTTTTTGTCCGGCGCGCCTCGCTTTGAATAACAATGTCTGAAGTGTTTAGCGGACGTGGGGCAAAAACCAAATGCGACTGTAAACTGTGTATAATGGTTTTGATCATTAGTGGTGGCCCGCAAAGCGCGCACCGTGATTGGATGATAGATGACCCGGGCCCCGTAGAGTATTTCAACTTACTTTTACCGCCATCATCATTTGTCATACATCAAATATTCACTATTCGTCGATGCCGTGTATCGCTTTGAGCCGTTAAATCATTCATGGGGAGGCAGAATTCGATCACCCGTCATTTAATTAATAGTGTTCGCCGATTCCGCGTTTTCGTTCCGAGTCGTTACAAATTTATCAGATTTGGTTAAAAAATCGCCATGTTTGGTTCTAAAAAAGTATCTAAACTTGATCATTTTCAACAGTGCCATCGGAAACACAATCAAATCCAAACTCCATGTTTAATCACGACATTGAGATTAGTACTGGATGTAGAATTCTTCCAATTTGTGCTTACTGGTTGCAACTTAACTATAACTTTTTGATCTTCACGTGTTGTTGGATTGAGCATAAGATATATAATTTCACCTAATCTGGATCTTACTGATTAAATCAAAATTTGAAACAATGAAATTAAACATCGCAGTGAATAAAATTTACCCTATCTATACAGGATGCCTGTGAATAACTGTACATAGTTTGAGAGAGAAGACGTCGATCTGATTTATAAATATAATTGTCCTCCCGATCTAACGCCCTTATTATAATATATGTTCGTGGATTGAGTTTACAAGAGAATAAATGTACCAGAAAGTGAAAGAAACGAAAAAAAGGCATTCTTGATAAAACTTTTTGCTTGTTTAGAAAATACTAACCACCATGACGAACTTCAATTTTGTTGTACAGGGTGGGTCAAAAACACAAAAATGTTATTTTGCGTTATACTCTGTTTGGAAATGAAAGAGAGTAATAAAACCCCGAGATAAGAACCGGCCATGGGCGTGCTAATATTTCGTTTCAGGTAATTATCGGGTAACACTAATGCTAACAGGTAATGGGTGTACATTAGTATATTTTACTGGATACATCATAGGGCAGGAGCCAGTGTATTGTGACAGATCAATCCAGTCTTAGAGCTGAATATACGAAGACGTGCTAGTGCAGTAGAGTAAAATTCGACTTGTGTTTAGTGACTAAAGTACACTCATTTTATTTTAAAAAAGAAATACCAACGCTAAACAAAATTTTAAGTGAACTTTCAGAGGACAACGATTTGCCAAAAATCAGTAGAAGCAAATTATGGGCCGTCTTACGAGAGTTGAATTTTTGCTGGGAAAAGCAGAACAGGAAGTCAGTTCTTATCGATAAAGATGAAATTATTTGTTGGCGAAGATCCTACTTAAGATCAATTAGAAAATTCCGTGACGAAGGGAGGAATATTTATTATCTAGACGAAACTTGGGTCAACGAGGGATATACTGTAACAAAAGTATGGCAAGATAAAAATGTAAAAAGTTTTCGACAAGCATTTTTGGATGGACTTTCAACAGGGTTCAAGGCACCTTCAGGTAAAGGGCGAAGATTAATAGTGACACATATAGGTAGTGCCAGTGGTTTTGTAGATGGCGGTTTACTTTTATTTGAATCTAAAAATACAGGTGACTATCACGAAGACATGAACGCAGATGTTTTCGAAGAGTATTTTACACAGATGTTGGATCTTATTCCTCCGGGGTCTGTAATTGTCATGGATAATGCCAGTTACCATTCACGGCAGACCGAGCGGACGCCTACGACTGCTTGGAGGAAAGCCGATATAATTCAATGGTTATCCGGAAAAAACATTTCTTTTGAAACAAATATGGTGAAAAAGGAACTTTTGACACTTGTCAATCTTAATAAAGATCAGAAAAAATATGTTATCGATGAAATGGCAACAAATCGCCAAATAACGGTACTACGGTTACCACCTTATCACTGTGAACTTAACCCAATCGAATTAGTCTGGGCGCAGGTAAAAGGAGATGTAGCGCGAAATAATACGACGTTTAAATTAAGTGACGTGAAAATTTTGTTAAAAAATTCCTTGGAACGAGTAACTGCAGATAACTGGCAAAGATGTATACATCATGTACAAAAAGAAGAGGAGAAAATGTGGGAACTCGATAATTTAATTGACGTTACTGTGGAACCTATCGTTATCAATCTAGGAGACGAAGATAATTCATCAGAATATTCAGAGGATGAATTTTAATATACCTACTTTTTTATTTTCTTTATTGTACATTTATACAACACTACATTTACTCACCATAATTTGAATTTTCAAAATACATATATTTTTGTGTGGAATAAAAGTCTATTCATTAAATTTAAATAAATATTTTGATAATAATATTGAATAATTTTATTTGAATTACTAAAAACCCTCTTAACCCGGTTATGATGCT